GGAATTCTGATATGGAAGATGACAGGGCTTCTTCTCTGTGAGAAAGTTTTGGTATTCTGTTACAACATGGTTCAGTCTTGGCTGCATTGCAAAATAGAATCTGGGCATTAAACAGTTTAAAGGATTGTCTTCAGTATTTGCTTTCAACCCAATTCATTTTGCATTGCAAGTAGTAAAAGAGGAATATATTCATGGAAGGGTTTCAAGAACTTATCAACTTACTCATCTTCAATAATTTGAAGGTAATCATTAATGGACTTTATTAAAAAAGAGCTTTCTTTAAAAAAAGTACTACATCTGGTGGATTAAAAGAGCAAAATATGAAGACAAAATTACCAATCTGGGTGGTTGTAAACACAGGTCTTAAAAGCATCCTGTTCAGAGCCAGATTATCCTTCAGTGGAAAGTTGCAACGTGAATGCATGCAGCCATGAAGATCCTGACTTCAAACAGGTATATAATCATGATCAAAAAAAATAAAAATGTGTGTGTGAGTGTGTATGTGAACGTAAGTGTAAAAAAAGTGCAGCTAAGTGCATCCATGCATCACTCACTAAGTGACTAATTGTTTACTTCCCTAGTAAATTTCAGCTGATTTTTAGTATTTTCCTCAGAAGAAGTAAGAACTTTTCCATACTTTTCACTTGACCTGTATGTATGAATACATCCTTCAACCTACAAGCAAAATTTCTGACATTCAATTAAAACATGAAAGGTGGAGATGTTTCCTATATTGTTATGCTTATACAAAATGCAGTAGTTTTCAGCTGGTACAAATTCTTATACAAGATCTAGAAAATCTGGATGAGCGTACTACTGGGTCTAGAAGGGTCAGATTACAAGAGTAATGATGTTTTTAAGAAATAGTGAATCCATCAGTCAAAAACTTCTGGGGAATAATAAAACCATAAAAGAGAGATATACAATTTAATATAAATAAGAAATTAAAAGTAAACAGTCCCTGAAGTACTTTCAGTCCGAATTCTGTGTCAGCAGATGATTATAAATCAGGAGTAATGTATTGCATATAGAAATACAGGCAGCCAGATGGTTTCTTAACATGTTTTTGTGACATGTTTTTGTTGGCTCTTCTCTAGATAGAAATGATAAAACATCGTGAACACAGGAAGGAAACTATTTTAGTAGTTCTCTAAGATATCTTAGATATTTAGTCTGCTAGTTTTTAACAGTAAGTCGTAAAGACAGGCATTTTCCTTTTTTTATTGGAAGACTGCTAGTAGAATTATGAGAAACATGAGAATCTGTGAACCCTGCTGTTATACCAGCAGGAGGGCTTGCATATTGTGTTGTAAATTTCCGTTTCTGTAACCAAGGCTTATAGAGGCACAGACAGTTCATGATCAATATTTATTAAGGCATCTTTTATTAATTAGGCTGTTATTATCACAATAACACCACGTAACAGCAAATAGTAGTTTATAAGAGTATGTTGTTCTAATAGGGGATTAAGTCAGGAAGATAACTTGGATCACAACCAGTATTTATTGCAATACTACTCTGGTAAGAGTGGAAAACTGTCTGCATCATACACGCAGTTACTGCCTCACGCAGTGCACACACTTGTGGTCACCCAGCTGGAGCAGCAGTGGAGAGGCCAACCCCAGCTGTTCACTCAAGAGCAGGCTTATGTTTACTTACAGCTGTAATTATTTTAACTCTATAGTAAAGCATGCTTACCATAATCAATAGTATCATACAAGCAAATGCAGTTAACCACACAACAGTTAGAATTAAGAGATATAGAACAGTATTTCCCTTTAGCTCTGCCACAGAAAAGGTTTTCCCAGCTATTTCCCCACAACTTGTTGACAACAATGGGATGTTTCCCACTCCTTATATGTAATTCTCCCACTAGCCTGTACAGTCTCTTTTAGCACAGGTAAGATTATATTTGCAAACTTTGTCACTTGATGTAGCCCATGGACAAGAAAGTGTTAATCCCAGTCATTTTTGGAAAAAAACCAGCGCATGGTTATGATGTTGAAATGAATTTTATTTAGCACTCCCTGCTGACACTAACGGCCTGATTTCATCTAGAGGTCTCAACTAGACTGCTGCTGTTTCCTGCCCTTCTTAACTTCTGTCAGACTGTCTCATAAATTATCAGTTTCCTTGGAAGTCTGGACCAAAATTATGCAGCCATGTAGCATCAGAACTGGGCCTGTATCCTTGGGAAACATGCAGCTAAACAGATCATAGGAGGAGGGAGTACAGGAGTAACAAATAGTAGAGGGGGGTACTGCCAAGGAGAGTTGTTCACATTCTGTGTTGTTACATGCATGTATAGGTTTTAATGTTCTCATTTTACCATATTAATTAACTATGTACAAATTTTTACTATTTCTTTTTTACTCTTCCAGAACTTCAGGGTTTAGTGATTATATATTGGTTATCAGAGAAGTACACATCTCCTTCAGTATGCATCTCTAGTACCCCTCTTCAGTATTATTTCTGTTCTGGTTCAACCACAGTATATTACTATTCATGATACATTACCAATCTCAGACCTTTGCATACATAATACTTAACCCTCTCAGCTCTTATTAAGTACTACTAGCACTCAGTTTTCCCTCAGTTTCAACCTTGCTTTCTCTTTCCTTGCTCGGTTGATACACATCCTAAATTCCTTCTTGACTTAACACATTTGCTTAAAGCATTACTGAAGTCAACAATTCTGTCACTAGATCTGGCTGCTCCTCTTCAGGTCGTTGTCCCTTGAGATAATGCAGGGTTATTAGGTTAATATAACTGAAGAGCATTATCCCAAAACTTTGACTGGAGTTCCCCAGTGTGGATGGACTGATTCTGAAGGGCTGCGAAGGACTCTCAAAGCTCCATTAAGAGCTGCAACAGTTTTTATTCTAGGGTCCTGTCTACCTTGCTGAGCAGTTAGATGGAGGTAAACAAGACAGAGGCAGATTAAGTCAGAGGTTAGCTATGCAGTCATGACAGACCTTATTATGGGACTTACTCCTTTACTGCAGTTAAATAGGCTAAGGTAAGGAAAAAGCAGCTCCTAACAGGCAAAATCTGTCAAGTGAGTTCCATGGAATTACCTCAGTTCAGAACTTTTGACCTTGTCAGTAATGACAATTCTATGTTTGCTGTGCTTGGCTGCTGGCTGGGGTCAACCCACCAGCCCTTTTTGGCAAGCAGCATGCAGCTTGAGGGTTTTTTTGGCTCCATAAGTTGATTGGAGAGCCAAGGAGCGATCAGCAAGGTTCACTCACCCTTCAGTAGTCCCATATGGCCAGTGTGACAGTCTGATGGAGGGTGGAAGTTAACAGTGGACTATTCTGGCCTGAAAAAAGTCATGTCACCATTGAGTGCTGCTGTATCAGATGTCCCAGAGCTCCAATATGACGGGGAGTCAAATGTGGCAGAGTGTATGCTACAACTGACATTGCCAAAGCCTTTTTCTTGATCCCTTTGGCACTCCCCAGAATGCAGGCTACAGTTTGCTTTCATGTGGAGGGGTGTCCAGTACACCTGAAAGTGACTGCCCCAAGGTGGAAGCACAGCCCTACTATTTGTCAGGACAGGACCAGCTGTGAGGACTAAAAAGCACTGGGGTGTGTTAGCGCAAGCCAGCAACAAATCTCCCACACAGCCGCTCTCTCAATCCCACTCCCCACCAGTAGGATGGGGGAGAGAATAGCAAGAGCAAAAGCAAGAAAATTTATGAGTCAAGATAAAGACAGTAAAACAGGTGAAGGATGGAAAAAACCCCAAGTGATGCGAAAGTACTTACTTGCCTCCTCCCATAAGCAGATCAATGCCCAGCCAGTCTCTGAGCAACAGCCACCTTGGAAGCAAAAAAAAACCACCCAATTTTTTCTTCCTCTACGCCAGTCTTTCTGGCTGGCCATGACATTATGTGGCATGAAGTACACCTTTGGCCAGTGCAGGACAGCTGTCCCAGCTGTGTCCCCTCCCAGCTTCCTGCCCATCCCCAGCCTACTCAGCTGGGGCAGGGTGGGAAACAGAGGTGGCCTTGATGCCGTACATGCATGGCTCAGCAGTAACCAACACACTGGTGTGTCATAACCCTGTTCTGGTCACAAATCCAAAGCATCATATAATTAATTTGCAATATTTTCCAAGGTCCATAGCTTCTTCAATGTAATTGAGGTGGCAGCTCAGTTTGACTAGTTTGGTTATCATCATTGTACAACTCATGCAATTTTTGATCATGTGCTCATTTCCTTGTTTCATCCGAGGCAAAATGTAGATTGTAGTGTGCCCTATACGCCTCTGTGTAACATACCATGACAATGTAAGATGATATGTTTTGTTTCAGCTGGCCTTCATATCCATTCCTTCTTATCTTTTAGCTGCTTCCTGGTTTAGAGTGCAGCAATTGAATTTAGCCTGGGGTTATGCTCATGGTGCCTTATTCAAACTGACTTTAAATCATTTTGAGTCTATTTATTTTAAAACTTGGATAACTACTCTCTCACATCTTTCTCTAGTTCCCATCATTGACATATTATTCCATAAGACCACATTTTTTTCTTCAGCCTGTGGAGACAACATTTGTAGCATTTTTCTAACATGAGCTTATATATATTATTGCAAGTACATTGTGAATGACCTCTGGGACTGTTGTGGTTTAACTCCAGTCGGCAACCAAGCACCACACAGCCACTCACTCACTAGCCCCCCACGGTGGGATGGGGGACAGAACTGGAAGAATAAAAGTGAGAACACTTATAGGTTGAGATAAAAACAGTTTAATAATGGAAATAATAATAATGATGGAAATAATAATAATGATAATAATGGAAATAACAATAACAATAAAATGTAATGAATAAGAAAACAATGAGAGAGAGAGAGAGAGAAAATCAAAACCCAGGAAAAATGCTCACCACCTTCTGACCAAAACCTAGTCCATCCCCAAGCAGCAATTGCTGCTCTATGGCCAACTCCCCCTAGTTTATATACTGAGCATGATGTCATATGGTATGCAATACCCCTTTGGCCATTTGGGGTCAGCTGTCCTGGCTGTGCCCCCTCCCAGCTTCTTGTGCACCTGGCAGAGCAGGGGAAACTGAAAAAGTCCCTGACTTAGTGTAAGCACTGATTAGCAACAACTAAAACATCAGGGTGTTATCAACATTCTTCTCAAACCAAATCCAAAACACACTACTATAGCAGCTATCAGGAAGAAATTTAACTCTATCCCAGCTGCAACCAGGACAGGGACATGAGTAGAGGTGTATTTTTTGTCACTAAATGTGAAACCTAACCTGCAAATTTGTTCTTCATTTAATGCAATGGCAAAGAAACAGTCAGATTGATAACTGCAAACCAGTTGTTTTTTTCCTGGAACTTGCAAGTTATCTCTTAGGCATGCCTGCTGCCATAGGAGCTGTCCTCAGGATGAATTTTATCTGGCACTAGTCCACCATATTCTCCAGGTTTTCTCATCAGCCTTCTTAACAGGCTATAATAGAAAATCATCTGTGCAAAACACCTTGTACTTCAATAACCTGCTGCAACTCCCAGCCCTAGCAGTGTTTGGATATGCTTCTACTCCCAGCTCCTCTTTCTTCTCCCAATCGCACAATATCATTCCCCAGATCATTTTTTGATTGCTCTAATTTTCCATCATTTCATGCAGATACACCAGCTATTCTTAATTTTTGCATCTTGTTCTGCTTTTGCAAGCACCTAATTTTGGCTTCACGTTTACCAGATCCCATTGGAGTCTCCCTTGCTCTAGAGTGAATTTCTGCATTGTACACATTAATCTATCTCCTTGCTTCTACAGGTTTTCTTTCTTCTTTTATTTTTTTCTGAAATCACCAGATTCTCTTATTCCATTTGTATTTCCTTATTACCATTTTGAGTCCCTAGAAAGTATTTCTTTCCTAAAGAGAAATGGTCTTCAACTTTCTTAATAGTATTTTTCAAACAGAATTTTTGGATTGAAGCTCCATATACTCTGCTGTTACACCGACTTGATCAGGACAGAATGTTTTAGCTGCTTTCCATCATAGCTTTGCTAATACAGGAGGGGTATCCCCAAGTTTCTTTCCTGTGCTCTGCAATAACTGCAGGATATTCTCTTTCCATCCCCTGTTGTCATATGGGCTGAAAGGACTCGTTCCTTCTTCCGTGGAAAGGTGGTTATTGCCAATGCTGCAATCCCCAGCATAGCTGGGACCCTTTAATATCCTCCTGCTTATCCCCAAGCATTCAGTTTAATTTTAGAGGTCGCCTTAAGGATTGTGCACAATGGTAATACACCAGAGTGGTTAGATTTATAGGACTGTCTTGTGGGTATGGTGAGACTGTTCAAATAGATCACTCAAAAGGGAAGATGAAATAACTTGATTATGATGCATTCATTTACCATCTCAGTCTTCCCCAAAAGGTATTATAAATTCCCTGCTCCCTGACAAGAGTTGGGGAAAACACGAATCTCAACCTTTTATTAATTAAGCCTTTACTATTAGCAGCAGATAATGATTCACACAGTCTTCTGAGTTACTCCTTCACTCAGTGCACTCACTCGGCAGCAGGGGCTGGTACCCCCGCCCCGGGGGCTCCAGGCAGCTGTGCACAGTCACAGGCGGGGTCCCTTGTTTCAGCAGGTGTGCTTGCACACACTGCCCTGTCATCTTTGTCCACATTCAGCAGCCGCTGCCTCCTTGGATGCGGTGTGGGTTATGTGACCCATTGCGGGTGCCAGTGTGTGCTGGAGGCCTGGGCAGGCTCAGCAGCTCCTCGGTACCCTGAGCTTATCATTATTATTTTTTTTTTTTTTCAGATTTAACAGGGCTACTAGTCTCCAGGGCTTATGTTTTCAGAGGCTACCTCTCAGCACATACTCTTCCTCTCTCTGGCATGGTGTTTTCTGGTAACTATTTCTCCATCCTCACCCTGAGGTGCCTGGAGAGCCCAAACACATCCACACACACAGAGGAGCTGTTTCGATATTGGCCATTCCTCCAAAGATGGATCTTAAAAAAAGTGTATTGGAAACTGGAGATGTACAGAAGAATCATGGGTAATAGAACAGTTGTTTAAGAGTAATTGGCACTGTAACATGCTAATTGTACTCCAAAAGAGGCAAGAAAAACTGTGGATTGACATTTTGTTGCTAGTGGCAGTTGACAGGGTAGGTCTGTGGTAAGAAAATAACCACATGAAAATCCTAAATTATCCCAATAACAGGTATACTGCAGAGGAAAAACTGTGCTGGTCTTTTCGTGAAGCAAAGGAATGCAGCTGTGGGTCTGGAAATATTCAGTCCTTTGAGGGAGACAGGTATTATTTTATTTACAGTTATCACAGAATCTGTCCCCAAATGATTAGGTGTTGCCAAAGATTTATCTAAAAATTGGTAAATATGTGTCAGTGGAGAAAAGCAGATTCAAAATCTACCAAGCCAGCAACATACATGAATGTTTGACACATGAAATGCTATAGAAAGGCTTTGAAAATATAACACATTTTCTACTTTGTGTATTTTCACAGCTGAGTGAAGATAATCACTTTTTCATCATGCATTACCAAGGAGATTCAGTGCAGTTCCAGTGCTATGAAGATACAAGATATTACCTGCATGTGAATGACGACTCACTTGATATTCGCAAGCCAGAAAAAGAAACCAACGGGGACAAAAATTTTTACTTCAGGGTGTCATATTTAGAGGAAAAGTAACTTGTCTACCTTTCAGTGGCCTAAGTGTCCACACAACTCCTATAATAAGCTAACAGAAGAGAAGGAAGGTTGAGATCAACTGATTTCCATTTTGGCTTAATTTTTACTTTTTTGTAATCTCTTGAGTCACCATGTTGCATGAGCAACATCCTTTATTTCTGTACTTTCAATAGGAAAAGAGGAAAGCTAAGTTTGAAAAACATACTAACAGATCAATCTTTTTGTGTCTTACCTGCACAATTGTGGTTTTAAGGAACTGAATTGTTCTGGAAGGGGAAAAATACACAGGGGATATTTTGGAGACAGGGGAAAAAGAAGGAAGCATACACGGATATGAAATACAAAGCACTGTTAGTTCTCCATGTCATAAGCATTTTACTTTTTAAAAAGTGTTTCTTACCAGCTCACCTGAACTTGAGAAGAAAAGATTTATAAGTTACTAAATGTACATGTGCATGTCCTGTCTGCCTGCCTGCCTGACTTTGGGAAAGGAGTGGAAGAGGTGCCTCAGGTCTCACTGAGAACAGAGGAAGAGGCTGAAGGTTAGACAGAAGATCTCTCTGCCTCTGTAGCTCCAAGTCAGCCCATGTATTCCACTGCGCAATTTCAGCATCTATCCAGCATGGCAGCTCTCTAAGAAAATGTACGCAGAGCATCAGACTTGCAGCGTGCAGGCAGAGGGGAGGGAGGCACGTGGAACTGACAGGGCATAACAGATGCCTGTGAACACTGGCAGCAAATTGCTCTGACATATTGGCTTCCATCTCTGAATCATAGTGGGAGATGCAATCATGTGTTCAGCTGCAAAGCAGAGCGCAGAACAGCATCTGCAAAATAATTAAATGTTAAAAATGACTGAGTAAAATAAACACTAGGTGCTTATGTGGGGTGCACGGCAGGAGCAGTAAAAGTACTTGCCCTTTAGCAACAGGGGCTGTCAGTGTGAAATGGAAGATGCTGACAATTAAGCATCCATAGACCGTATCCTGCAAGGCACGAAACATTTGAAATACGCGAGGAGACAAACCAAAAGTGTACACAGGATCACGGGGTGTTAAAGATCTGGTTCTCCACTACTGTGCATGGAGTCCCACTGTGATTTAGTGGCAATTTTCTTTTGATGCAAATAATTAGGGGACATATGTGTATAAATGGTAGACATCAAGCAGCTATGCCAAGAGGTTGCTGCTTGGTTGCAGTGGAACAATCTACAAGCTACACAGCACTTGCAGGAATTGTTCTGTGTAAATATAATAAACAATGCATACCTGAAATAGGAATCCTAACATCAGTCAATCACACCAATGCACATTACAATAAGGCAGTTACCTATAGTAGGCCAAACTCCAAAGGTCTGTGAGACCTTAAAAGACATTTTATTTCCACTCCCCCGCCCCCTCCCCTCCCCAGCAATGTGGAGTTTCACTGCTGGGCTCGTTGTACTCTTCAAATAGTGAAAATCATTCTGTTGCTTCCAATGCTGACTGAATAGAAAGGAGCTTTTGAGTATTCCCTAAATAATGCTTACAACTTCCGGATCTGTTAAGAGTTCCAAGAAGTCAGCGGGAAGAAAAAAAACCCAAACTCTAGATATCAACTTCAGCATGCATTACACTAGAATTAAATTATTTTAGCACTATCTACTATGTTGCACAAGAAATAAATTCAGTTATGTACCAGGTACAATAATTTCACTAACTGATACACTAACACTTCTTAGTCATACATTTATTATTGGTCATGTGATCACCTTACTAAGTTACAGAACATGCTCTCTAGGTGGTAAGCTGATGAAACAATGACATTTTATCATAAAACTCATACAAAGTATACTAATGAAATCAGCATTGCTGATGTCACCAAAAAGAGTAACATCCACCACAGTGAATTTTGAGTCTATTTCATAGTTAAAACTGTCGTGGTTTAACCCGGCTGGCAACTCAGC